TCTTCCATAATTTGAGGTCCAAGAAATAGACCTTGAATGATGAGGTAGCAAGTGGTAGTAGGGCATGGTGAATTGGGCAAGGTTACTCTTGCCAGAGGAAATCTCTTTTACTTGTCAGTTTGGAAGTGCCCCTCATGTTTGCTTTCTTAGAATCATCTGAATTTTTTGATAGTTGAGGAATGGTATCAGGTCAACGGATCTTGGTTACCAAAGCCATTTTTAATAATAATAATAATAATAATAATAATAATAATAATAATAATAATAATAATAATAATAATAATAATAATAACAACAACAACAACAATAATAATAGTAATAGTAGTAGTAGTAGTAGTAGTAGTAGTAGTAGTAGTAGTAGTAGCAGCAGCAGCAGCAGCAGTAGTAGAGTTGGAAGGGACCTTAGAGGTCTTCTAGTCCAAACCCTTGCTCAGGCAGGAAACTTATACCATTTCAGACAAATGGTTTTCTAGTCTCTTAAAAACTTCCAGTGTTGGAGCATTCGTAACTTCTGGTGGCAGGTTGTTCCACTAATTAATTGTTTTAATTATCAGGAAATTTCTCATTATTTCAAGGTTGCTTCTCTCTTTGATTACAGGAGAACAGAACAGAACAGAACAGAATAGAATAGAATAGATCCAAAAAGGATCCAAAAAGATCGTGACAAACTTGAACAATGGGCCCTATCCAACAAAATGAGTTTCAGTGTGGAGAAAAGTAAAGTTTTACATTTAGGCAGGAAAAACTAAAGGTACAAGTACAGACTAGGTGAGACCTGGCTTAAAAACAGTAACTGTGAGAGGGACCTTGGAGTCCTAGTGGATGATCACTTGACAATGAGCCAGCAGTGTGCAGCAGCAGCCAAAAAAGCTAATACAATCCTGGGTTGTATAAACAGAGGCATAAAATCAAGATGACGTGAAGTATTAGTACTTCTTTCTAAAACCCTAGTAAGACCACACCTGGAATACTGCAGCCAATTTTGGTCACCATATCACAAAAAAGATGTTGAAAGCTTGGGAAAAAAATCAGAGAAGAGCAACCAAGATGATCAAAGGCCTGGAGACTATTTACCATTTACTATGACTTTCCTATCTCTCCCTATAAGATGTCATCCAAAGCTGTCATGAAATGTGAGAGACTATAAAAACATTACTTTTTGTTTTCTCAGATACTGAAAAATGCACCAAGTGCCCAGATGATCAATATCCAACCAAGAACAGAGTCCAATGTATCCCAAAAAGAATAACCTTTCTGTCCTATGAAGAACATCTGGGCATCATCCTGGTCTCATTTTCCCTATTCTTGTTCCTAACCACAGGCTTTGTTTTAATCATATTTATTAAATATCTAGAAACTCCAATTGTCAAAGCCAATAACCGGAACCTCTCCTACATCCTCCTTGTCTCCCTCCTGCTTTGTTTCTTGTCTCCTTTTCTCTTCATTGGCCGACCAAGTAAAGCCACATGTCTTCTCCGACAAACAGTGTTCAGCATTGTCTTCTCAGTAGCTGTGTCTTCTGTGTTGGCCAAAACAATCACAGTGGTGCTGGCATTCCTGGCATCAAAACCAGGGAATAAAGTCAGAAGATGGTTGGGGAAGAGCTTGGCCAACTCCATCATCCTTTGTGGTTGTTCTGGTCAAATTTTCATCTGTGCCACGTGGTTGGTAATTTCTCCCCCATTCCCTGACTCTGATCTTCACTCCCAGCCTGGAGAGATCACCCTTCAATGCAACGAAGGTTCTGTGACCATGTTTTATGTTGTCCTTGGTTACATGGGCTTTATGGCTGCCATTTGCTTCACAGTGGCTTTCCTGGCCAGGAATCTCCCTGGCGCCTTCAACGAAGCCAAGCTGATCACCTTCAGCATGCTACTCTTCTGCAATGTCTGGGTCTCCTTCCTGCCCACCTACCTCAGCACCAAGGGGAAATACATGGTGGCTGTTCAGATCTTCTCCATCTTGGCCTCCAGTGCTGGTCTGTTGAGCTGCATCTTCTTCCCCAAGTGCCACATTATTATCCTGAGACCGGATTTGAACACCAAAGAACATCTCATGATTAAAGTAGGGAAAGTAAAGTGAAATTGTTTCTGCTTCAACCTTCCTGATGGTTTACATCTGCATATCTATAGAGCTGGTTTCCGGCTGGGGAAGGGAGACTTGGAGCTATTAAGAAAAACTGGGCATGTTTTGCTGCCTCTTTGAGGAAATATATTTTTCTGCCCTTTTAATATTTTCTTCTCTGGGGGGCTGACTTCCCACATACCTTTCTCACTTTTGTTTCTTGCACTTTTTCTTTCTTTTTCTTTGGATTTATCTTTTAATCTGAAAAACATTCTTAATAAAATGTATACATAAGGACCAGAGTGTTAGAACTGGACAAATAAGCTTAATTGCAAGAAAGGTGATTCTGGCTAAATAATAGGAAAGGCAGATCAGAAGGAAGAGCAGCTTCATGGTGAACATCCTTTCAGGGAAAACAAAGCTCTAGCTCAGTTATATGGTGTTAAATTAAGGAACTTGCACCTTACCAATTGCATTATCCTAAGGAGACATATCCAAAATCATGAAGAACATTACCATATTCAGGAAATACTGAGTCTCTGTCTCTCTCCCTCTCCCCCTCCCTCCCTCCCTCCCTCCCTCCCTCCCTCCCTCCCTCTCTCTCTCTCTCTCTCTCTCTCTCTCTCTCTCATTTCATTTTGTCCTTCCTTTGGCATCCTTTCTTTAATGAGTCTATTCCACCATTTCTTCAATATTAGTGTAACTCTTGTCCCATGGCAAGTTGTCCCATGGCAATTTTGACCATGGTGTCATGCCCCCATCAGAGCCTGAAGAAGATGAGCTGGAACTGGAGCAGATGGAGATTGAGGGGGAGGTGTTGTTGGCTTCGGAGGAATATGGGGAGGAGCAGGCCGAGGCAGGCCAGGGCCTTTCAGGATTGGGATGGCTTGAAGGCAGGGAGGAACAGGGGCAGGATGAACATGAGAGACAGAGCTCAGGCAATGAGCAAGGGCCACTCCCTCCTGATCCTTGAGCAGTGATGGTGAACCTTTTAGAGAACGAGTGCCTAAAAACTGACTCCACCCCCCTGCGCTGTCCCCGCTCTGCCCTCCCATCCCCTGCCCCGCCTGCCCACAGGACCACTCACTGCCTCCAGGGCCCACCACAGATCGCCCAGGCAGCCCAGCAGCGCTATGGTGGCCACACCCTCTACCCGCACCCTGCAGCATCAACTGCATGATGGGGTGTGAGGGCAGAGTCTTGTCTACGCTGCCTGGCTGCCATGTCCTTGGCTGCGCTGCTCTGTGTGGGCCACGCTCAGGGGCAACTCTCCTTCAGGGGGGCTGCTGGAGAGGAGGGGGTCACAGGGGGAGGCAAGGCTGTGCCCACATGTGCCCACAGAGAAGGCTCTGAGTGCCGCCTCTGGCACCCATGCCATAGCTTCGCCACCACTGTCCTAGAGCATGGGGAGTGGAGAGAAGGAGGGAACAATGCAGGCAGGCCCAACTACTCAGGAGGAGAGCATCCTGCCCCTCTCCACAAGGCACATCTGGGGACTGAGACTTAAGGAGCCGCTGTGGGGAGGGGCATTTGTCAGGAACAAATGCTGAATTATTGGAGGTTTGTGTTCCATTGCTGATGTTGGAAACAACTCTCTGATCTCTTGTTCTATGATGTGATTTCTACTTGTAAACTCTGAAACTCTGACCATTGGACTGGCTGACAAACTTGATTTGGTGCTCCAACCCTCAGATTGAATTTTGGCTTCTCTTCTGAAACTACTCAGGCAAGCTTGTATTTCTACAGACTCATTAGATTTTGATGTATGTTCCTTTCTTTGTTATCTACTTGGTGTTGAGTAAATTGCTGTTCTAATCTAGCCACTGTGTGTGAGTTGAAAACCTGAAAGAAGACTATGTCAACGCTGTGACAAACCGAACTGAAGCCATTTTCATTTTGTCTTCATTGCCACATATTAGTTTAGATGAAGGAGGAAGTGGGTGAAATTCTCAGTTAGTCAAAACAATTCATATGTATAGGAACCAAGGTCATTTCTGGAGATCTGGGACGAGTGCCCACATTTTGCAACAATTGGTGAATGTGATTTATGACAGCAAATTGGGGTGGGAATTGCAACTTGCAACTTTGTAACCAAGGGGAGGGGAATTTAGTCTTGGGTTTACCTTTGTATGTGCCATTATTTTGTAGCCAAATAAAAATGTTCCTTAAAAAAGAATTTCTTGCCTTGAAGTTTTTTTTACTTGGTCTCATCTATTGGAACCATGACATTAACCCAAGACTCCTAACTATTTTAACACCACAGGGTCCTGAGCTCCGGTTGCCTACCTGAAGTCTTGGGAGGACAACAAAGACTCAGGGAAGATTCTACGATGGAGAAAAAGGAAGAGCCTGTTACTAGCCTTGGAGCTACAGCAGCCACATTAGAGGATGGGGTGCAGACCATTGCACTGATAGAGAGTGTGACCTCCGGCAGCCAGCACGAGACCAAAGGAACATGAGATCCAGTTAGAGCCATTGTTGCTGTTGGAGGGAGTCCTATCTATCAGAGACACTTGGCATTTGGAGATGGCCCAACCGAAAAAGAGTTCAGTTAAGGCCGCTGAAGCTGAATATCCACTAACTGTTTCTCATGAGTCATGTTCTCCTGATCAAAGAGGCACCAAGCAACTAGTGCCTTGGGATGAATTGGGTGAGTGGAAATATCTGACTGCAGTCTGAAGCCAGTCTGTTGAGCAGTTAAGAGAAAGGTTTGAAGGAATGGAGGTGGGCGGAAAGGAGCAGGCCACCCGACAGTTACTTTCCAGTGAACGGGATGACAGACACCCCCTAGACTGTCCCCCATCCAGGCAAAGTCCCAGTCCCATCGCTGTGGCCCGAGCTGCCTCCCCATGACCAAAGCCAAAAGCTTTAACTTCAAGTCCAGTGTGGAGACAAAGCCCAGACCACCATCAGTGGCATGATAGCCCCAACCGTCGGCAGCAGCCCACCAGCCCTCATCGCCATCAATGCTATGCCAGTCCTGACCATCGACAGTGGTATGTCAGCCCCCATCAGTACCAACCTATGTGAGCCCTGACCGGTACCCATGCCAGTTGAGCCCTGAATGTTATCAACTTCAGGGAACTCCTGATCACTGCCAATGCCTGGATAGCCCAGATAGATATTGATGGGCTAGTCCAGATCGATATCAGTACCAGGCCAGGCCAGACCATTTTCATTACAGAGCTAGTCCCAAGTGGCATCCCTGGTGACTCAGCCCCGGATGTCACTGGCGCCACACCAGTCAAGGGCCCCACCCAAGGGTTGATCAAGCAGTGGGACTCCCATGAGATCAATTGCAACAGCATGGATGGTTGCAAGATCTCTGGGATCAACAACGACCCGGAGCAGCTGCTCCTTTGAAACCTTCATTTGATGGTGACCCTGACAATTTAACTTTATTTTTGAATCAAGTGTACTCCCACATGAATAGGAATGTCAACATCTATCCAGACCCTGCTGCTATGGTCGATGTGATATCGGCAAACCTAGAGGGGAGGCAGCAGAGTGGTTGAACAGCTTGTAGAACAAACAATCATGTGAGTTATGGGACTACAATCTATTTATCCAAGGGTTAAGAACCAGATTCAAGCTGGTCACTTCGTTGCCACATATTAGTTTAGATGAAGGAGGTGTTGAACTACCTTCCTCCAGCATCAATTTCTAGACAAGTCCTGACATGAAGGAACACAACCACTACAGAACAGTGCCCCCAGGTGTGCATTTATGATTTTTCAAAAACACGCTTTTCTCCAGCTACCTCTCTGTACATGGAGCCCTGAAGAAGTTCAGGTTCCCCAGAGAAGTAGCTCCTCAGTGTAATCAACATCATCCAAATCTTTGAGACCTTTGGTACTACTTCTCCAGTGACTGCCTTTGATGTAAACATCAGACCAAAGCAACATGGATGGGATCTTGCATCAAAAAAGAATAAATGCCTCAAGTCATGCTCTTTGTGGCACAAATTTTGGGACAGCTGTCCTCTTGAATGTACCTTTCTTTCTTTTCCAGGTGAAGCTTTGTTTGTCTCCAACTTAATCAGAAAAGCCTCTGGCATTTCCATCTTGTGGAGTTAGAATGTTTCTAACTCTTCTTGTTTTTGTTTAAAAACAAAAAGGGGATTAATTCAGCCTTATGAATTATGGACCTCCTGCTTCTCCTTCTGATGCTGCTGGCCTCCCAGCCAGTCTCTGGGAAGCTTAGAATGAAGTGCCCACTGAGTTTCAGGCACCAAGATAGAGAAAAACCATGGAGCTATTACAAGCCAGGACACCATCTCATTAGCATAGTCACCAGTGCATCAAGATTATCACGTGAAATGTTGAGTTTCAACATAAATCCAAGTCAGACTCGCTTGTAAGTCATTCATGAGACGGAATTGCATTCCCTTCATTTGCAGTTTTAATAGTCTCCTTCTTTTCTTCTTATTGCACTTACTTCTATGTTGCAGTGTCTAATGTCTTGAATTGATTTGATTTCCATGGCTCCTCTCTTTTGTCTTATTTTGTGGAAGAGAAAATGGGGCAAAAAAAATCCTGAAAGAATTCCACATTATTTTCTTCTTACTGTATAATCCTGAGTTCATAACTTGAATACAGATTTTTGTGTAAAGTAGTGATTGAAATGGTTGAATTTTTAATCGTGGTAAAAGGTTATCTCCATCCCATCTTCCCAACTCTTAGATATATTAAATAGTGATGGGTGACTATCATTTGCCTCTGATTTTGGATCAATATTAAAACTCAGTAGGCCTGTGGAGAAAAAGATGATTAAGTTAAAAAAAAAAGTATTTTGTTATTTTGTTGATGCTGATATTAACATGAACCTTTTTTTACACTAGTTTACCTTTAAGTAAGATAGAAATACAACGCTTTATTTTTAATATTCAAGTGGTCAACAAAAATCACCAGCTCCTGCACAATCTCACACTTGGTTACAACATCCATGACAACTATTTGGACACACTTGGCACTTCAGATGCCTTGCTGGACATGCTCTCTACTGGAGAAGGCAATGTTCCCAACTATAGCTGTGGAAGGAAGAACAACCTTTTGGTTCTTCTTGATGGAGCTTCCAGGGACATCTCCATCCAGACATCAACATTAGTGGGCACTTACAAAATCCCACAGGTTTGTGTGTGTGATTCACTATCTGGTAAAGTCAATGGTGGAGTGGTAGTGGGTGAATGATAGATACTATCATATCTTCTCTATAGAATTCAAGAGCTACTTTTCACTATGGCCATTGTAGTCATAGCTACACTATACATTATGATGGGAGCAAGGATCAAAACAGACATATTCTCTCATGATACCATCTTCATTGCTTTCTGGGCATCTGCTGCATACTTCTAAAGGTGAGGAGAGAATCTGTGTTCAATCAAAGGGTCTTCTGTACAATAGGAAGGTATAACAGTCATGGAAAACTTTCATTTTGTACATGATCTTAGCCAAAATAATGATAGTTTCAATGTTGAACACATGCTAGATGCATGAAAAGAGTTCCAATGGATTGTCTTCATTGCTATTGAAAAAATACATGTTTTATAGACTCATAGTGACCACTAGAATTAACTACTTTATTAAAAATTACAAATATATTAGTCAACATGTCAAGCATTTTTAACCAAATATATTTATGATTCATCATAAAAGGCTAGAGAAGTGATAGAGCCCTGGAGAGCTGAACTATTCAAAAAATAATCCAACTTGTGGGGCTCTTTATTAGCTGGTTGTTTTACACATATATATGATATAAATAAATATATCCAGTTGGGTTGGCAGGTTGATTTACATATATACAGTTTTATTGCAGTTGGATGGCAATAGAATTTCTATATGTAAAAAAATGGAATAAAAAGTACCCTAACAATTATTTGCCATTTTTTAAATAGATGCGGTAGTTAAAACAAATGCTGAAGTCATCTTGAGTAAACTTGAGAGTGATTAGATGAATAAATAATATCTTGGTGAAAAACAAGCAGGCTTTAGACAGAGGTGTGGCTGACCAGCATGGAACTACATCTATATGGAGGGAAACATACACCAGGGTGCTGGGAGGATTGCTAACACTCTGAAAAATGGACTCAAGATTTAGAACAATCTTGACAGTCTTGAATACTGGGCCCTATCAAACAAAACGGAATTCAGTTGTGAGAAAAGTAATGTCCTGCAGCTTGACAAGAAAAACAAAATGCACAGTTATAGAATAGGTTCAATAGTAGTAACTGTGAAAGAGATCTGGGTATTCTAGTGGATCACCACTTAAATATAAGACAACAGATGCCAAAAAAAAAGTCAATGCAATCCTAGGCTACATCAACACAGGAATAGTATGAAAACCACATAAAGTGATAATGCCAGTTTTTATTGCGTTACTGAGGCCACACTTGGAATACTGTGTCCAGTTTTGGTCATCCAGATACGAAACAGATGCTGAGACCCTACATAGTGTACATAAAAGAGCAAGAAATGTGTCTGGAGGCTACGTGCAATGAACAGTAAATTGGGAATTGGGTAGCAATGAAGGATAATATTTGCAGATCAGGGTTGAAATGAGGGGTCCTTGGTGCTCTCTGAACTTGCTTGTTTTCTTGCAGACATTTCATTACCCAAACTAGGTTAACATCAGCAGTGCTAGTAAGGAGTGGTGTTTTCTGTCAGTTTATATTCTGGTGTCTTGTCTATCTGGGTGGGCTGGGGTGTTCTTAGGGATTCTTTGGTTGGGCTTCTTACTAATGGCTCTGTGGCATTTCTTGATTGGGGTATTGCTTACTTGATCATTGGTCTGAAGGTGACCTTGGAGTTAATCTATGCTGATCTGAGTGCTGATTACCAGTGGAGAGGTGCTGGAGTCTTTTTCTCTTTGGGGCTGGTTGATTGTCTCTTTTGCATAATCTATAGATGTTGCTAATGTCTATGTGTATATTGGTGGCTGATTTGCAAGATACCAGCAAACACCACTCCTTACTAGCACTGATGATGTTACCTAGATAGGGCAATGAAACGTCTGCAAGAAAACGAGCAAGCTTTAGGAATTAGATATGTCTAGTCTCATGAATAAAAGAACTGGGGCTGACAATACAGCTGTCTTCCAGTACTTGAGGGGCTGTCAAAGAGAAAAGGGCCAGCTTTTTCTCCAAAGCACATGAGGGCAGGAAAATAAGTAATAGGTGGAAGCTCATTAAAGATAGATCCAACCTGGAACTAAGGAGAAATTTCCTGACAGTGAGTACAATTAATAAGTAGAATGGTTTGCATCATGAAGCTCCAGGTGCTCCATCGCTGGAAGTTTTCAACATTGGATTGGACAGCCATTTGTCCAGAGTGGTATAAGATCTCCTTCTTGACCAGGCAGTTGAATTGGAGGGCTCCCAAACTCCCTTATGACTCTATGATTCTATGAATTGATTCACTATTGACTTTGTGTTGAATTTTCCTTGCAAAATATGTCAATCAGGGGAAACAATCGTTTGCTGTCTTTATAAATCTTAGTGCAGTGTTTGACACAATAAAGAGAGAAATATTATGGATGAAATTAATTACCTAGAATCTAGAATGTGCTGGCCCTGGTAAATTCCTTTCTACAAACATTTTTTGAGAGGGCAGTTTTGGCTAAATGGAACCATGAGAAGAATCAACATTTACCAAGTGAAAGATGCATATTTGAACCATGTACCAAGACTTG